GTTTTTGGATGCCAGCTATCCGAATGATCGCGCACGCAGGGCTCCCTCAATTACTTGGAGAAGAATGCAGCAACAACTAGAATTTGTGAATGATAACGTGGAGATTACCTCTTCAGGGAATCCTATTTGGTCCCCTTCAACTTACGGGGATTTCACTTTTTCAACAGCTTATGACCTTCTCCGCTCGAAGCAAGGACGTTGTTTGTCCTCATCATGCATATGGGGCGGTGGATTGCCATCCAAAGTCTCTATTTTTATGTGGAAACTGCTCCGTCGTCTGCTCCCTTATCCGGATGTCATCCAAAGCTTTGGATTTCACCTGCCATCAATCTGCCCATTCTACCGAAGTCAATCAGCCTCGCTAAACCACTACTTACATACCTGTCACAGTATAAAGGAAGTTTGGAGACATTTTGGAGGCATTTTTGGTTTGCTAACTGTCCCTGCAGGTTCTCTCCGTGCACGGTGCCATTCGTGGTGGCTATTCGCACCCCCGGGATCAGCTCTGGAAATCATTGCTCGTTTAACCCCTTGTTTAATCCTATGGTTTTTGTGGAAGGCTTACAACAACTGCCTATATGATGATTCGCCTTTCTCGTCTGCCGGAGTCATCATCAACATCAAACGTGAAATAATGCTAATCTCTTTGGCTCGACCGACTCGCTGGAGTTGTCCCTGAGATGTTGCTTTTGTTCGTGGTGGCTTGGTGGGTCGTTTTGTTCCTCCCTAAAAATCTGTAACTCTATGGGTTAAGTGGATGACACCGCCGATGGGAAGACTCAAGCTCAACACCGACGCTATTTTCACAGAAAGTGGCGTGGCTGGTGGTGCGTGTTTGAGAGATTCGCGCGGCCAGCTTCTTCTGGGGTTCTGCTTTCGCTTTTCTGCTTCTTCAGCACTGGAGGCTGAAACCTAGGCTCTTCGCCTTGGTTCAATGGTGTGAAGTGTAACACCCCCAAAACAACAAGACCTAAAAACAAGTCTAAACACATGCAAATTAACAACAAAACAAGTACAGCGGAAGATAAACTGAAACTGGATAAAAGAAATCCAAAACGGGGGGTGTTATGCCACGTATACCACACTAGGTAACGCTAAGGCGACAATCTGCAAGTGTAACACACTATCCCAAAACATCAGTCTAAAAACAATCTAAAACCATTGGCGCGCAGGCCACAAAAACACAGTCTAAAGATACAGGTACTAAGCTACCGGCTCTAGACATCGCGCTCGACTACTCAACACCTGAAAGAACACAAAGATAAACATCGGGGCGACGCCCGGTCAGCGAAAGATGCTGGTAACCCACCAATACCGTTAAGTATCATAAATAGGTAGATATAAGATATAAAAACCATTTTCGAAACGGAATACATATATATAAGTCAAAAGCCAAGATCAAAAGACAACACAAGACTCACCACTCGCAAGGATAACACCGGGAACACATCCCAACCACAAAGGTTAAGCACACATAAGGATAAAGACTCACCCAATGGCAACACATGCCAAACAACACAAGTCTCCGTGACTACACACGTCACGAGAGAAGATCACACAGCCACGGCTACACAAGCCCTCGTGACATCACCCATCACGAGTTGATATGCCTTCCTTATGCCCTGTTCCAACCTTATGGCTACCCCCAACCTTGTACCTTCGGTGCCAACCATTACCTCTAGAAAGCCCCTGTACAGCCAAGTCCAACCTTATTCCTCCGGGACCGTCGTCCCCCACCTATAACCACCAACGAAAACCCACCAATTCACGGCAACACATGCCCGGATAACACAATGTTATCCCCCAAACACGTGGACTCAGCCACAACTCCATGAAATCACGTCACGGCCACTTACGAGGATCGCTGTAATACCTTGGTGACTAGCGTCCCATACCACTAATCGTGCAATCCAGGTAGAGCCACACACGCACCACCACTCACACGAAAGTCAAGCAACGGATTACAACGAAGGTATGAAACATACTCAATCAAGGAACGGGTCACCACCCAACAACAACAACGATGAATAACGCAAGTTATCATCAACCCAACAGAAGGTACGAACAACACATACGCTAGCATTAAGACAACAAACTAGCATGCTTATCAACAGGGAAACTCAAGATAGTTCCGAGGAACACACAAGACACTTCTTGGTTCAACGAAACACAATGTTGAACACTTAGCACGATTCACGACACCAAAGATCCTACATGGATACCTACCATATAGCTCTAGACCTACGAAACATCAAGAAGACACTCAAATAGTTCCACAAAAGAACAACGGGAAGCCAAAAGATCAAACACCGAGACAAACAAATCACGGGGAACAAATCCCGAACCAAACACCACCGTGTACCCCGCGGGTGGACACACGGGTAGGCCCCTACCCGTGGTTCTGCCCGCGGGTACAACACCCACATTCCCGTGTACCGGCGGGTAGGCGGCGGGTAGGGCTCTCCCCGCCGTTCCGCCCGCGGGTACACGCTCCTGTGTCAAACAATCCCTTCGGGGATTTTCTTCTCCAAACACAAGTTCAAGTCCAAAACATGCCAAATCTCACCAAACACAACAAAATGACTTGAACCATGGAAAATGCCAAGCAATGGCACAAAGGAATCCTAAACACAAGCTCTAGATATGCAATATCACAAGATAAATGCATAAACTCTCACATTTCATAGCAAAACACAAATAGAAGCCAAGAAATCATATATAGGTAAGCAAAATAGGTTTTGTAGAGCATGGGTTACCTCTTGAAGACCAAAAGACTCCTCTTACACCACAACAAGCTCTCCACTAAGCTCACTAGCCAAACCCACTTCAAGATCAAACCAAAAGATCATAAAGATCCTACCTTTAAGAAAAAGACAACTAAGATGGAACCAAAAAGACTAGACAAGCTTAGATCTTACCCTTCTAGATGCCCAAATAGGTGAAAGATTGAATCTTGGAAGCAAAACTTGGAATCTTGACAAAAGTCTCACTTGGCTTGAATAACATGCTACTCTTCTTTTCTAGAGAGAAGGTAGAGATATTTTTCTAGGAATTGCAAGGAATGAAAATGAAGAAGTCTTCTAGGTTTAGGTTACAAAACTAACTCTTGGTGAAAAGACAAGGCTACCCTTACTAACTCTTAGAAAGTGTAAGGAACAAGGGAACTCCTCTCAAAGCACAAGGTACAACACAACTTAAAGATTGACTAGTCAAATACTAGTCCTTGAGTATAAAAAAAAAAATCAGGATTTTAGGAATCAATTCCTCAAGAGAAATAGAATTAATTACTCAATTAATTCATGGATTGGAGTGTGGATTTTTGGGGTGTCACATGAAGTGTTCGCCAGGAAACCGCACAAGGTGGAAGTGGACTCTTTAGCTCTTACCAGTCTGGTTTCTCATCTGGCACGACTGCCGTGGAGGCTGGAAGACTCCATTCTCTTTATTCGATCGCGCCTTGAAGAATGGGGCTCGTCCATCAAGCATGTCTATTGTGAGGCTAATCGTGTGGCCGATGCTCTGGCAACGATTGGCTTAGCTCATAGCTCTTCTCAGATTTTTAATAGCTTGTCTTCCTTGCCGGATTCGGCTAAACTAGCTCTCCTGTATGATCTTGGTGGCTTTGCCACGCGCCGGGCTGTTCGGTGTCAATAATATGGTTTGTTCATTAAAAAAAAACTACATTTTGAGTAATGTTTAAAAAACCTCTAGGTTCACCACAAATTAAAACCTTAACGATCTGGATTACTAACCCTCGAAACTACTACGTACAACTGCCCATGGTTAAACACCGAATTTTTAGTAACAACCCGACATATGATAACGTCTGACCTTGACGTACTTTTGTTGATTATCATGGCGTATGATAGCATAACAGGAAATTGCTTCCTTTGAAATTTAAAAGGAAGTCTTGGGTTTGAAGGAGTCAACGCCAACCGTGGTATCAAAACATTAGTACCTACATTGTTTCCCCATAGAATATGCGCCTCAATAACATGGGGTTTCCTAACTTTGTAACGATCAACCGTGTGCCATTACAAAGCCCCGGTTGGCTTATAACGATCAACCCTGCGCCTCCGCCCTCAAGGGAGGTTTTTGCCTTGTTTTTCTCTTGCAAGGTTTGTTTTTTTTTTGGGCCTTATATGGTGAGAGAAATAGGAAAGGTTCTGCGCGCGTTCTGTGCACATAAAAGGAGACTTTTATTTTTTAAACTTACAAAAAACTTAACAAATGAGATTGCTCTTAAAACTTTGTGGTGACCAAATCAACTATCTAACCAACATGACTAAGGGGTTCATTGCCCCTTCAATACAATCCCTGACCACACGCAAGGAGAGCCTTAAGCCTTCCGAACTCCCAAAAAAAATGTAGTTGTCAATTTCAAAAATGGCTTGTAAGTGTCATTATATTGCAAAGCCAATTAAGTCATGTATTCGATAAGTAAGCTTGGCTCTTTTTGTTTTGGGTGATAAAAGAAACTAACAGTCACTATTCAAAAGTATGCATTGCATAAACCATGCTCTTATACAATAATCCGCAAATCGCACAAGCCTCAAAACTCCAAGAGTGGTTGGCCAAAATCGTATATATTCATGACCTTTCGGTAGGAAAACATCGCTCTTTTGTTATTATATATCTATTAGCTAGTTTTGTAAAGTTAAAAAACAAAATCTAGTGATGATAGATGTGCTCAGCCTGAGGTCAGTGCTAAAATTAGGCAATGCAACACATACATAGGCAATTTAATTGCAATACACACCGTACACATGTACCATTCAATTCGTTTATTCGGAAGAATCATCATCATCATAATCATCATCATCATAATAATAATCATCATCATCATCATCGTCATCATCATCATCATCGTCATTGTCATCGTCATCGTCATCGTCATCGTCATCGTCATCGCCATCGTCAGCATCTTCAACTTCTTGTATTTGGTCCACTGTAATTAAATCAAATGACAAAAAAGCAGTTAAGAATAAATTGAGCAAAATTTATAATTCAAAAAAAGACATACTGTGAGAGAAAAGAGGCAGACCATGGCGAATAATGATGGGTTTGCTTCCATAAATCTCCCGGTTATCACTAATTTCTTGGGCAGATTCCTTAACAAGGTGGGGGCAATTTAGTAACTCAATTGACTCCAGTGTGTTTACATATTCAAAGCCAGTTGGAATAGCTTTCAATTTGGTACACCTTTTAAGGATTAGGTGCTTAAGGCAGCGAAACTGATTCTCTCCATCGACCTCCCAACTTTCAAGGTTTTCAGCTTCAAGGTACAAGAATTGTAGCTTATAGAAGTGACCAACTGTGCATGTGGGTTTCCAATTTGGATAATCAGACACTTCTTTCAGTTCCAGTGCTTCAAGATTGGGCAAAATGCCAAGTAAGTTTATTTCACTCCACGGCAAACAAGTTCTCTTCAGTTTCAATTCCCTGATGTTGATGTATAGTGGCAAACAGTACCTCAGTTCCCGAAGGCCTGATGGTGAGCCTTTCCGGAATGCAATCATTAATGTCTCCAGGTTATACAAACATTCAAGGTTCTTAAGGTTAGCAGGCTCTATGGCCTTTGGACTTGGTTTAGATCCACAAATAATCCCCAACTTTTTTACATTTGGAATCCTTGAAAACACTTCTTCGGTACAATGGTCTAGACTCAACCAGTACAATGTTTGCAAGGCCTCTTTGACCTCATTTGGAGGATCCACTGAAAGAGCATAACTAACCTCAACATGCCTTAGCTGTGGTGACTCCAAAACTTTAGATGGCAAACACATATCCGCTCCATTATGGGAAATAATAAGTGTTTGCAAATTCACATTAGTTGACACAACATCACTCAGACCCTCAAACCATTGTGTTACCGATAAATATCTTAAAAATATCAAATCTCCTAATTGCTGCATTGGCAGTCTTTGGAGAAATGAAGATTGAACAAATGCCAAAACTCTTAACAGCTTCAAGGACACAAAAATTTCAGTGTTTTCTTGAAAGAAGAAAATGGAGCGAGGGTTGTTTGAACTAAACAACACATAATAGTCAAACCTATGTTTGCATAAACTTAACCAACGGCACGAATTTGCAAATGCATTTAATGACGACGTTGGAAGTTGCTGAGTATTTACTGCACACAAAATTCCCTCTTTCTGACCCTCTCTAAAACAGATGTTATGCATGACATTGTGCACCCTACAAGTTTTAATTTTGCCATCAAAAGTCTGTTTGCATATCAACACAAGACTTGAATCAATGAGGTCCTTCAAGTAACAATAAGCAATTGTTTCTAACTCCTCATTCTTTGATGGCTTCACAAATCCTTCAGCAATCCATAACCTAAGAATTGTTTCAACTTGGATTTCACTGCGTTTTGGAAAGACTCCAAGATATAGAAAGCAAACTTTCAAATATTCTGGCAACTCATTGTACATAAGAATGAGTGCATTGTAATCTAGAATCCCCAACAATTCTATTTCCTTTTCAATCTTTTTCAATTCATGTTGTATGTTGTTTTTGCATTCAGATAAGCGCTTGGCAACTACAAAAATTGACACTGGCAATCCTTCACATATTTCCACAACATGGAACAAGTCACTCCTGAATTTTCCAAAACTTGGTGCCCTATACCTTTGAAGAGGAAAGATAGTATAGAATAGATCCCAACTTTCATTTCGATCTAGTAAATTCATAACATGATATGTACCTTTGATTTTGCAAGCAAAGTTAGCCACTCCATAGAATCTAGTGGTTAGCAATATGCAACTTCCATTCACTGCAGACTCGCAAAATAAGTCTTCTAATCGATCCCAAAGATGATTGCTCCATATGTCATCCAAAACAATTAGACACCGCTTTTCATTCAAGCATTCACAAACCTGCTCCCAAAGAGGGACTTCCTTTTTAATTTCATGATTTGGTGAAATTGACTGGAGAAGGTCCCGTAGCACTTTGGTCTCTTTGTAATTTTGAGTCACTGTAACCCATCCCCGTACCTGGAAATGCAATGCAACCTCTTGATCTTCCAAGATTTTTCTTGCTAAAGTAGTCTTCCCTATGCCTAGCATCCCAATAATTGGGATTACTTTGACACCATCAAATTGACTGAAGAGTCGATCCTTGATCATACTAACGTCATTTTGATGACCGATCATTCTTCCCTCCTCAAGTTTTGGATAGCACCGCGAGAATTCAAATTCAGACTGAGTATGATTGGCTTCATTCCTTGCTGTGTTGCGGATAGTGCTCAACACCTTATCTGCGTTTTCTGTAGCTTGATGCAAGGTTTGAAAGAGTTCTTCTAGGTGCTCTTTGTTGGCCACACAAAGGTTTCTAATAAATTGTTTTCTGATGTCTTTTTTAGCTTTGAGTACAAAGTCTGTGATTTCAGCTGCACCAAAATTGGATTTATGTAGAAACTTTTGCAAAGCAAAGAGCGTTTTTTCGAGAGATCCTATTGCTGTTATTACGTCGTCAGACAACCATATGGTGGGTTGCAATAACCTAACTGCTCTCAAGAGATCTGTTAAATCATCACAACATTCATAAGTCTTCAGTCTCTCCTCCAGCTCTACTCTCTTTTCTTCCGCTTGTTTCAAGATTTGACACAGTTCCGAGGATGCTTCATCTTCATCCACTGTGTCTTGGGCCAGAACAAAACTGCTCAAGTGTATCTTGATCTCATCTTCAACTAAATCTCCTATTTCGGTTTCCGAATCTTTGATTGAAGGAGCACGAATATGAAGAAATAATTGTCGCAAAGAAGAAAGACTTTCAATGAGAGATTTGAACAGGGTTTGAATTTGATCATAACCCATGCTCCTCCCGTTGGATTGTATAGACTTCATATGATGATCCATTATTCTCTTGAGATAAGTTAAATCACCATTCTGTCTCTCATACTCTCCTCCGCAGTTGATAATCTCCACCACATCTGCAGTATTTTCTTGTGCTTGTTGCAAGATTTGACAGAGTTGCTGGGAAGTTGCTTCTTGATGCACTGCGTCGTCTTTGGCTTTGGCCACAACAAAGTTGCTTAGCTGTATTTCGATGTCATCTTCAACCTTGAGTGCAAAGTCTCTTACTAAGGTTCCAAAATATTTGATTGCAGCACCACCGACACTTGATTTCTCTTCAAGAAAGTCCTGCAAAGAAGAAAGGTTTTCATAGAAAGATTTGATGAGTGCTTGATCATCATGAAGATGAAGAGGAACTCTTGGGATGGGTTGCAGAAAATGAAGCTCAATTGTTGTCTTTAGAGAAGTTAAAGCAACATAAGCCATCTCTCTCTCTCACTCTTTAATTTTTCTGTGATTTCTTCAATGGATGGGAAAATGCAATTTCAAGTTTGAGCTAGGTAGGTATAACTTACAAGAGTGAGTTATGAGAACTGAGAAGCAGTTTGAGGGTGGATTGTGATAATAGCAAAAGAGAAATGGACGAGTAAATTCGGTTGAGTTAGGCACTAGGCGGCGGCCAGTAGCCTATGCCGGAGCCTAGGGGGAAAATCACTACGGTTTAGGAGTGTCTAGCGCCTAGACCGATTTTTTCAACAATGAGTAAAATAGAAAATATGTGTATGTATCTCGTGTTATGCGTTTCTGTACATCATGTAATGCAATTCTGTACATTAAGCGTATAGATTCTGTACCTAAAATAAATTAAAATTTATGTTCGAAACATTAGAAACGGAAAGTTACGAAGTCTGTTAAAGCTTATACATCAAATGACGTCGTTTTGATCCAAGATCCACAATGTTATGTGGAACTTGGTCCACAATATAAATTGCCACTTAGGCCAACAAATTGCAAATTTTATCATGTACAGGTCCACATTGTATTGTGGACTTTGGATTAAAACGACGTGGTTTTGATATTTAAGTTTTAAATGATTATGTAATTTTTCATTTATCATGTTTCAACTCAAATTTTAAATTTTAATTTATTCTAGGTACAAAATCAATATGTTAAGGTACAAAATTTTATAGCACGAGATACAAAAAACTCACAACACAAGACCCATACACATGTTATATATTTACTTATTCTCAAATTTGATTTGCGTAGATATTATATATCCTATAGGCACATAAATTCATAATGCAAGACATTAATTCGTAAAATAAGACGCACAATATGTTGTGTGCTACACAACTACTAATCTATTTTAGATACAGAATACATACGCTTAAGCCTTAAGGTACAAAGTTGCATAACATGAGACACAGAAACACATAAAACAGGGCACATACATATGTTTTATATTTACTTAGGCATAGAATTGCATAACGTAAGACACAAAAATGCATAACATACAGAAGAAACAAAAACACATAGCACAACACACAAACGCGCATGTTATATTTACTTTATTTAAGGTACATAATAGCATAACATGAGACACAGAAACGCATACCACAAGACACATACACATGTTTTACAGGAAAAAAAAAACATGTAACGTGAATTGAACAACAAACGGTCACCATTAACATTCAAATTCAAAACTATGTCATGTAGGACCAAAATCCACGGTATAACGATTGTTGCACATGCGGGATTTTTTTTAGTGACCAAGAAAAAACCTAAACTAATGAGGTTGCTCTAAGAAGTTGTGATGATACTAGTAAAAGAATATTCCTTAGGATAAAACCCCTCCTGTGAAAATGATAAAATATTTAATTTTTTTTTTCTATTATCAGAGAAATTCACAGTCACTACTTAAAAAGTGTGTACTGAATAAATCACATTTTTATGCAATAACTCTTAAATTATACATAATAAGTAAATCACATTTGATTATTTCAATTCAATTTAGATGGCGTTGGCAAAAAAGTTTCTCTTATTTATTATTTTAAATCAATTTATGAATGAATGAAGAACCCAGAAGAAATGGCTGATTATTCCATTTATTATGGTCTCGAGTTTCTATTGAAGCAATAAAGATCAAGAGAGTTATCGTTTAAAGGACAGATATTTCAATTTTATTGTTTTTATTTTCAATGTATTGTGGCCATACATTACAATCTTATCTTTATCGCACTCATGTAACATATACACTTGGTATGAGCGTAGACATCAATGGTCTGGCATGCATTACATACTGACCAATCCTCCAGCTATGCTCCAAAACTTGTTTGGTTTGGAGTTAATGCATAGTCAATATTGTCGATTGATAAGGACGGTTTTCACACCTCCATCACAGTATAGAGTTTAATTTAAATATCGTTCCATTGGAGATGACTCTTGTAATGTAAGGAATTGATGCAAAGTGGAGTTAAGCACAAGCTAAAACTATTCTTTTATAAGATAGATCTATCGTTAATGAGTTGGTTTGACATGATTTAACAAATAACAAAATAGACAAGCAAAACAAAGGACCGGGACTTTACTACAAGAAAAAAGTACATGGACAACGGTTTTTCACCGTTGTCGCAGGGGTAAAATTTCTGTTGTTGAAGCCAGTGTTGTTGCAAGTCCCGCGCATAGACAACGGTTTTTAACTGTTGTCTTTTCAAGAAACAACAATGGTTTTTGAACTGTTGACTATTAAGTGTTGTTGAAACCGGTGTTGTTAAAAGTCACGCACATAGACAACGATTTTTGAACCATTGTCTATTGAGTGTTGTTAAAATCGGTGTTGTTAAAAGTCACGCAAACAGACAACGGTTTTTGAACCGTTGTCTATTGAGTGTTGTTGAAACCGGTGTTGTTAAAAGTCACGCTCATAGACAACGGTTTTTTAACTGTCGTCTTCTCTAGAAAAAAAAACGGTTTTTGAACCGTTGTCTATTGAGTGTTGTTGAAACCGGTGTTTTTTTAAAAGTCATGCACATACACAACGATTTTTAACTGTTGTCTTTTCAAAAAGACAATGGTTAAAAATCGTTGTCTATTGAGTGTTGTTGAAACCGCAGTTGTAAAAAGTCACGCCCATAGACAACGGTTTTAAACAGTTGTCTTTTGTAGAAAAGACAACAGTTTTTAACCGTTATCTATTGTGTGTTGTCGAAACCTGTTGTGTTCTCGATAATTTGAAGAATAGACAACGGTTTTTAACCGTTGTCTGATATATGTAAGACAACGGTTTTGAAACGTTGTTTTTAACCTGCTTAGATTTTAAACATAATCATATATAAAAAACAATTTATCCAATCACCATCACCAAGTGTAGTCACACAATTTTGCACAAGCTAAGGTTCAAAATACAAAAGAATTGATTATCAAGTCTAAATACTTCAATGACCAATTCCAATCCAATCACCATCCATGTCATAATATTTCAAAAAACAATTTCAAGAACCAAATCTAAATGTTCACAAAGTTCTAATCATCAAAATCATGCCTATTCTATATAACTTGATACAGTATATGCCTATTCATAACGCACCAGATCAATAACCGTTTTGTCGTAATCAACTTGTTGGAACTATATGTAAAAAGTTAGTAAATATATTAGTACGTACTCAACATAACCACAATATGATGAATTTTATAAAACTATTTGAAATAATAAAAGAAAAAGGTCCATAGTACCTACTCTATATAATTGATACACAATCTGCCTATTCCGAACGCACTAGAACAATATCCTTTTTGTGATAAGCAGCTTGTTGAAACTACATTTCAAAAATATATGAATATAAATATAAAAGTACTCAACATAACTACAATATGATTAATTTTATAAAATTATATTAAAAATGATGATAAAAATCTTACCCATGTTTGAACAAATTCTTTATCAAGAAATATGTGAAATGGGTAAGGAAATGACTTGTTTCTCCAGCTCAACTTTAAATTCCATAATTTCTTGATTAACAGATTTTCCTCCAAAGGTGAGCAAGAGTGTTAAAATTATGCCATAGCTTTTTTTAAACATCATTGAGTATCATGGAGTCCAGATCAGAGGTATATAACTTTTATGTCCATAGTTTTACAGCTTCAAGGATCGCCTATACGTTATTACCCATTTCTGTGTAGTAACGAATCATTCACTTCTCAAACGGACTATTGACAGTACAGTGAAGTATCAAGCAACTGGCTCTCTCCTGTTCCTATTGGCACCAAAATGTCCATTGATCTGGGGAAGTGGATCTTCTAACATTTCCTCACATTGATTCATCCGAGGGAACAGAAGGTAAGATTGCGTTATCCTAATCTCATATTTGGAATTCTGACGACGCGGGGCCTAGTACCAATACCAAGTGAGATTATCAGTCCAACTCTGCTATATACTGTTGATCCACGCCTCTTGAATGGCAAGCACATCCGAGATGTTACACCTGTTAATGCTCCTCCATCATCTGATGCTGATACTCCTGTTGACGACTCGCCACATGCGAAGGATGTTCAGCTATCTCTCCGTCTGAAGGCTCGGGTGTCTAAGCTTGAAACTGTTAATGGCATTATCGCGAAGCAACTCAATGCAGCCCGTACTGAACTTGCGACTGTTCTGCTTCGTCTGAGCTTGACTGAGTCTGATGCTGCTGAGAATGTGAAGTCTGACAGTGAAGGTCCCTCGAATGCTTAAATGTTCCTTTGTCTATCTTTGGCAAAAAGGGGGAGTGCCTAAACTCAGGGGGAGTTTTTGTGTGTTTTTGTAGGACTTCGTATCTTCTGGCCTTGTCTGGGCGTGTGTTTGTGATGACCTCCTGCTTTGTGAAGAATGTTACTACTTGTTTTTGTCCAGCACGACTTGTGTGTTGTTATTTCTTTATGGGTTGTATTTCAGGCTTATGTCCTTTATGCGACAGTTATCTTCCTTTTTATCCCTAGTTTATTGTTTTATATTAGTCGAGTTGTTTTGCCAAATAATAGCCAAAGGTGGAGTTTGTTAGTGTTTTTACTTTCTCCAAAGAAACCCCAACATATAATTGGCAATATTATTATGGCAAACTAAGATAGGGTTTAGCTTGGTGTCTGTTTATTTTTACAGAAGGCTGATTGATCAGGTTCATCAACAGACGCACTGACACTGAAGATCTGATAAAGGAAGATGTTTCCCAAATGCTGAACGCGGTTTGAGAAGACAGTTTTGGAAAGAAAATCAGCGAATCTGTTTTGGAAGGTATGGACCGAATCTTTAAGATTGCATTCTTCACAAATTGTCCTACCATCTACAATCAAAGATATTTTTGGAGAGTGTTCTTACTAAGAGTTAGTTAAATAAACTCATATTATTTATTTGAGTTAATTTCATTTTTAGTCATAGTCCTGGATTTATAAGAGGTAATTCACTTTTAATCATTTTTCAGAATATCGCTCTTTGGTCCTAATATTAT